CTATGAGTTTTGACTGATGGCGTAAGCAAACAACGCGCGAGAATGACGAATCTCGTACTCGTAGTCACTGCTAAAGCTCCCTAATAACAACAGCAACAGCAGCAACAACAACAACAGCAATAACAACAACAACAACAACAACAACGTGTCTAATCCATGAGCCCAAGACATTTGGCATGTGGATTAAGAGCTAGGTGAGACTCACTAGACCAAGAAACTTACGATGTTCAACGAGGAGTTCAATTCTTCCGCAGTCTTATGAAGTTCACCAGGATGAGAACTTGACTATATGGTTGTGTCATATGCGTACTGAAAGGTAGGGACTGAGTGGGGTCAGTTCCGTATAAATTAAATAACATTGGCCCCAATATAGACCCTTGGGGTAAACCAAAGCAAACAGTAGCTGATAATCGATTGTCAATCTGAACAAAATGTAACTGTTCACTTAGATAGTTAGTGAAGGCCTTCGCAGATGACAATTTTGCTATAAAGGTCTTATAATGCACCGTATCAAATGCTTTAGAAGAGTCTATCACCATAAGGGTGACCTTACCTTTCTTCATTGCTTTCAAAAAATTGTTGCGAATACCCATTAGTACCGTCGCAGTTGAATGTCCCCTACAAAAGCTAGATATTGTGGTGCCAAGGACTGAGTCATATTTGCAGAAAGAGGTCATTTGTACAGCAACAAGCTTCTCGGGACCTTCGATAAAGCCATGAGTATTGAAATGGGTCGCAAATGTTCTTCAAGCTTGGGATTGTCAATGTTGGGAATTGGACTAATCCTTGCCTTCTTCCATGCCTTTCGAAAATAACCAGGTCTGATACAGTTACTGATAATAGGGAGCTTTAGCAGTGACTACGAGTACGACTACGAGTACAAGATTCGTCAATCTCGCGCGTTGTTTGCTTACGCCATCAGCCAAAACTCGTAGTCGTTGGGCTTTTGAGTACAAAACTCATCAAAAAACTCGTACTCAAAAGCCCATCGACTACGAGTTTTGGCTGATGGCGTAAGCAAACAACGTGCGAGAATGACGAATCTCGTAGTCATACTCGTAGTCACTGCTAAAGCTCCCTAATAGCTGTAATAGGACCAGCAATAGACTCAGTAATGAGCTTGACAAACTTGACAGGAATGCTAGTCTGGACCTGTTGAAGTATCAGATCTTAACATTTTAATTGTGCATAAGACCTCACTATAGGACACCTCTTGAAGCTTGAATAAGTCCTCAAGGTCATCAGGAAGGTTATCCTGCAAGGCACTGTAGCGTGTCAATGCTGTTGGAGAACATTCTCTCTGCTGTTGAGGTGAAGAAATCCGATTTAGACTTATGTATATGTATATGTAAACTGTATGTATTAAACTTATTGGGGTCATGCCACAATGGCTGCTGGCTTAGATTTAAAATGCGATGTATTATACGCCACACCTCCTTCGGCTTGTTGGAAGATAATGTTTGTCTAGTAAAAATCTCACATGCCTGGCGAATCGCAGTCTTTAACTTATTCCTGACATGACGAAACTTCACCCATGACTCCTGAGCGCCTGTTTGATGTACTTACTTCCTTGAAATATCACATTGTTGTTCCAAGAAACGAATCTGACTATCTTCCATCCAGGGAGCCAGAGGTCTAGTAATTTGCACTCTCTGAAGAGGAATGTGTTTCTGCAAACACTCAGAAAACAAGTTATTAAAGTATCCTAGCTGTTCGTCTGGATCATCAGATGAATAAATTATGTTGAGGCAGCGCATGAAAGTCATTGATGAAATCTTGTTCATTCAACTTCTTAAAATTCCTAATGAATTTGTAGCGTGGTTGAAATCGGTTAACACTTAGGTTGATGCAAGCAAACAGTGCGTCATGGTCACTCACAATAGCGGTAGGAATCAAAGACGTGATTCGTGATGGATGGTTAGTAACGGTGTGATCGATAAACGTTTGGGATGTTTTTGTGACTCTAGTTGGTCTAGTAACTATTTGATCCAACTATATGATCTAACTATTTTAAGTCCAAAGATGTCTAATATGGTATTGTATCATAAGACGAGATGTTAAAGTTTGTATCTCCGGTAAGTACAACCATCCCATCCCAAGTTGAGGTGATTTGTTTATTTATTTATTTATCTATTTCAAAACTTCATGTACATGAGTAACAACGACACATACATAGACAGGTAACAACAGGGCTATAACACCCTAGCTAAGGACATCCACCGCTATTTAAAAACAAAAACAGACAGAAAGATGGACATGATCTGATTCTAATCATGATCTAACAGCAAGATGAGTCAAGTGACAGTTGGAAGAAGTTTCTGATGGTGTGGCAACGTAGACCTATCGATCACCAGCTTGAATTGATGTCAATGTTGTAGATATCTTGAAGAGCGGAAGTGTACGTAGTTTTAAGGATTGCTTTAAAAGTGTTATATACAGGAATTTCTTTTAGAGGTGTAGGTAAAGTGTTCCAGAGTCTTCAAGCGCGAACAAAGTAGCTAGTTTGAAAGCATCTAGTCCAAGATTTCAGAACTTGCAGATTTGAACAGCATGAGTTTCTGAGGTTGTTAGGTGGTAGTGTTGGTTGATAGTTTGGTAAATCAATGTTGTAGACACGCTGTGTAAATGCATGAGTGCACTTTGTAAGATACTGATATGTAAATAACTGGTGAATATATATAGAAGGCCCCTGATATTTCTTAGGGCGTAAAAAGCAGTAATAAAAATTTGGAACCCAAGCAGTGGCAGCTACATTTTGGTCCTTCGAACCAGACAATATTAAGGATGCAAGTGTTAAAGACCTTGGAGATAATGGCTGTGTTAAAACTAACCTCAGAAAGTGATAATACGGCTGGTAGACTTGAGGGAATTGACTGTGACGGCGATAGAACAAGTAACGAACATATTGTTAGTAGAGCAGAGCGAATTTGCCGTGAGAGAGGACCTAACGTTCGTTTGAACTTGGATGCTGTAAACACAGAAAGACTGGTGAAGCTAAGAAGATCTAGAAGTAGCCATCAAGGATGTCTGACGAAGTTATACAGGGTGTATCAAAAAAATGTCCCAAATGTAAAATTTCCATTTTTCAGGATATTTTGCGGAATTTGGCAAATTTTTGTTTTCCTAGAAATAGATAAGACTTATCTGGTATACCTAGGCCAAGTTTGGTTTTTCATTAACAAAATTATGTTACGGGGGGGGTGGTTCCTTTCCACTGATATTGAGAGGGCTTGCGCACGAAAATGTGAAGCTGAAATTGAGATATTATTTAGCTGTCTAAAAGTAGGAAAGCTTTTTAATAAACTGTCAAAGTTTCAGGAAAAATAATGCATACTGGGAGCAATGCGCGACCCCTAAAGGTGACAAATATTTCATTGCGCGCAGTGGATTAAATGCATGGTTGATTTTAGCGTGACCGATCTCATGTAAGGCTGGGCAAATGAATAAATTAAAGCGAGAAACTGAACACAAAAACAAAGCGATTTTTTCGTGATGTTAATCCTCAGCATGTCCACCATTTCATTCTAAGCAAACTGCTGCTTGTCTGAACATACTAAACACTGAATAGCAAACCATTTGTCTGTCCATTCGCCTAGATTTGCCGGTGGTAGCGTAGGCGATTTGCAAGAAAGAATTTTGAACGAAATGGATCATTTGAGGCAGGACAGACAAATGTGGTTTGCCGATCAGTGTTTACCATGCTCAGACGAGCCGCAGTTTGCTTAAAAAGAAATGGTAGAAATGTTGAGGATTAACATCAAGAATAAGAATCTTGTTATTAAATCGCTTCGTCTTTTTGTTCAGTTTCTCGCTTTAATTTATTCATTTCCCTAGCCTTGTATGAGATCGGTCACACTAAAATCAACCATGCATTTAATCCACTGCGTGCAATGAAATATTTGTCACTTTTAGGGGTCGCGTGTTGCTCCCAGTTTGCATTATTTTTCCTGAAACTTTGACAGTCTATTAAAAAGCTTTCCTACTTTTAGACAGCTAAATAATATCTCAATTTCAGCTTCACATTTTCGCGCGCAAGCCCTCTCAATATCAGTGGAAAGGAACCACCCCCCCCGGTAACATAATTTTGTTAATGAAAAACCAAACTTGGCCTAGCTATACCAGATAAGTCTTATCTATCTCTAGGAACACAAAAATTTGCCAAATTCTGCAAAATATCCTGAAAAACGGAAATTTTACATTTGGGACATTTTTTTTATACACCCTGTATAATAAGATAAGAATACTTTTATCAGAAACTAAGTATGCTAGTGAAGTGAGAGAATTGCATGATATGGTTAATCATCAGTGGGAACGCTATTCCTTTGTTCATAATGAAGTATTAGCATGTGCTATTGGAGATACTTTAGCTGTTGAAAATGCTCGCTTGGTATTTGACGAACAGTCTCAAAAAAGAACCGAACTTTTAGATATAATTAGTCGGTACTTAGAAGCATGTACAGTCGAACATACTTGAAAAGTAGATAAAAGTCTCGAAGACGATTATGAAACGAGAAGTGAAGCTAGCATTAATGAATCGAATAAATCATTAAGATTAAACCATTCAAGCGTCAAATCTAATATAAGCACGAGGTCTCTTGATGCGCGATTGAAAAGACAGAAAGCCGAACTAGCCTTAAATCAACTTAGCAAGCGGCAAAATCTCAAAAAGGAAGTTGAACAACACATGTTAGAGCTTCGGCAGTCTTAAATAGGCAGATCGTTGAATTGCGAGACTTGGAAGACAACCTTGAACTTGCTAAGCTTGAAGAGCAGTTCGCTGTTGAATATGAGCAGAACATGTTTGACGATAATGAATTAAAAAAAATTAATACACCTTTAGAATTTGAATATTGTCCTGCATCGCTGCGTAAAGCGACCTATATAGACACAAAAATGAAATTCCCTGTTTTGATACCACATAGAAGTGAAGAAAAACCAGTAAAACATTCAAGCGCCCCTGACTAGCTTAAACCTTCGCCAGTTTGTCGAATACGCCGCCTATGGAAGTGGTTAAATTTGCTGGTGATCTGAAAGAATATTGGAGATTTGCCACCCGTTTTAAAGATCAAGTTCTTTCACAGCCGATCAGCGAAAGTAAAAAGCTTAGTCGCTTGATGCAGTACTTAGACGGGAAGGCAAAAGAAGCTGTAGAAGATTATGAAGGTATGGGTGATGGCGCGCTGCAAGAAGCTTTAAAAGTTATTGAGACTCACTTTGGGCAACCTTATATGATTGTTGATGCATCCATTGGGTCACTTGTCAAAGGTCCGAACATAAACAGTGGAGATGGAAAAGGCTTACAGAAATTAGCCGACAAGTGTCAATTTGTTTATAAGACTCTGAAAGCTATGAAGTGTCTTAGCGAAGTTAACACCGATCATATGAGAAGATTGGTCGCCCGTTTGCCATACCATTACCAAGCCAAGTGGAGAGATCGCGCGAGTTCAATACTGAAATCTAGAAGTAAGCTCCCCAGTTTCTTCGACTTGGTAGAATTCCTACAAGAAAGAGCAAGTTTCGAGAATAACCCAGTATTTGGTTATTTGAAAGACTTGAATAAAACCGAAGTCATCCGAAAGAAAAGATACTCTGACTCAAATACAAATGCTTCAAGAATTTCAAGTTTTGCAACACAATTTGCACCGAAACATGTCCGGTATGTCAACATGGTCAATCGTGTCCAACATTCCTGAATATGACAGTCGTTGAAAGACGAAAAGTCGTCCTAGAATCTAGACTATGTTTCCAATGTTTGTCATTTGGTCACTACAAGCAAACTTGAAGATATTCTAAATGCGACGTTCACGGTTGTAATCGAAGACATCACAGACTTTTGCATTTGAACAACCAAGAACCAAAGAAAGAACAAATCAATGTTGATAAGTCGGAGCATCGAAAGGTAATTACGTGTGACGCTAATGTTCAGACAAACGCAGCGAATGTAGTTCCAGATGTCTACAAAGGTGCAACCGCTCTCCCAGTCGTGGCAGTTGTAGTTCGGGGACCTGTTTCGTCCTGATCTACTAATTGTGACCAAAGACAATCGTTTTTATATCCTTGAACTAAATGTCGGGTACGAAACTAAACTAAGAAAAAATGTGCAGCGAAAAAATTTTTCCATTAAAATTTTTCAATCTATAAAATAAGGATTAACAAATTATAGCTAAATATAAATTAAGATTACATGTGCTTATTATCATATTTGAATGCTATGTAAATTACATATAAACGTTGATCTTTACTTCTTGCCGGGTTTCAGCGTTCTACATATCTTTCCCAGTATTAATCTATAAACCGTATTTTCACAGGTTAGCACAGAACAGAGTAAATTTAAACCAGTTGCACACAAAATGTGTTCTCACATACATGCAGACTACAGTTCATAATAATCAGCTCATATTACCTAGTGAACCTCATGCTCTACATTAAACGTCAATCAAACTAAACTAATCAAATTGTAATCAAAGTTAATATCATAAATGTTTTACTCAGCTCCTCATCGATACATCCTCCACCCCCATAAAGGGATCAGAACTCTTTACCTTCACTCTTCGTCAGCCTCCGCTGGGTGGATCACTGCGATCTTTTGGACTGGTCTGGAATACTCTCCCGATGCCGTTTGTACCTTCATGTTCCTAACTTTCTGATCTTTTCCCGGGTAAACTTCAATCACACGCCCGACTTTCCACTTTCCTCTGATGGCCATTCCATCTTGCAGAATGACAACATCATTCGCTTGTACGTTCCGTCGGTCCGAGTTCCATTTCTTCCTTGGTACCAATAGAGGGAACACATCTCTTGTCTAATGCCTCCAAAACGACTGTATGATCTTTTGCACAAACACAACGCGCTTTCGTGGGATCTTTGTTTCTTGAAAGGGTCCTTGTGGGACTTCAGGTGATGCTCTTCCTAGCAACATATCCTTGGGGCACAGATACGCACCGTCGTCAGGATCATTCGTTGGTCTTCCTTTGGGTCTTTGATTAACCAGATTTGCTACCTCAAGTAAACAGGTATACAGCTCAAATGGGGTTAAGACATGGTCACCAATAGCTTTCTTTAGGGCCAACTTGCAACTCTTAACTAAGGCTTCTGCGGTTCCATTCTGGTAAGGGGCTGCAGGGGTAATGAATTTCCACTGTGCGCCTTTGTCGACACAGTACTCTTGCAATACCTTCTTTCAGGTTTCTTGTAGCATTTTCTTCAGCTCTGTCAAAGCTCCAACAAACTGCATCCCATTGTCACTTATGATCATTGCGGGATGACCTCGAATCGAGAAAAATCGTCTGAGTGTCTGAACGAACTCCATTGCTGAACAATCTGTCGCGATCTCTAAATGCACAGCTCTTGTATTTAAACACGTGAAGATGACTCCGTAGTGCTTAGTTGTCTTATTACGACTAATCTTGACGGTCAACAGTCCGAAATAGTCACAGGATACATAGTGGAACGGGGGTGTATGGGGTGCTACTCGGAATGGTGGTAAGTTTGCCATCAACTGACTCTCGACTTGTGGGTTCATTCCCTTATATCTGGGGGTCCCCATATATCGAATCCAAGTATTCCCATGCAGCGTCGTAATCCGAGCTAATACCTTTTATCAAATCGAGTGGCTTGTCCTTTAAACAAGTGCGCAGCAGTGTAATAGCATCTCGTTTTGCGTATCTCGATGCAATTGCATGTTTAAAATCGGCTCAAAAAATCATGTATTCGCGGACATTGCCAGAAAACTTAGGCAATTTAGGTTTTTCCATCCGAAATCCACAGGCAGTCTTGCCCTAAACAGTTCCTATTTCATTATTTATTTCTGGTTAGGAGGTACTTTGTTCCTGTTCAGGGTTACTTTGTGTAGACTCAAAGGGTTGTAGAGTCGTCCGCTCACTGTTGCCAACGGGGTTATCTTGGGGCATTTCAATCGCGCTGTTATTCTTGGTGTTGATGGCAGACAGACTGCTATCTGCTCCAACTTGGCTCAAATTACACGTGCTGTTTGGTGGGTTTTGCATTCCTAGCATTCCTGACGCATATCGCTCCTCTATTACGCTCCTCTATTACGCTAGGTTCGCTATTCTTGCTAGTCATCTCTTCTATATATCGTTTAGCATCAATTTCAAGCTTGAGGAAATCATTTTGACAATCGTCTAACCATTTTTCCTCGGCCTCAAAGTCCTTATCATCTGCTATTAATTTCGGGTACTCATCATGTTTCAATACAACACTATCAAAGGCCTGCATAGCTTTAAGAAGGTAACTGTTTACCTCGTCTATTAGTCTTTTCTGCTCTTGACGTACGACCAAGGCTTTTCCAAGCCGGGTCAACGTTGCTTTCGCAGTGCGGCGTTGTATTTACAAACTAAACTAATAAAATTGTAATCAAAGTTAATATCATAAATGTTTTACTCAGCTCCTCATCGATACAAACATTATGGACAATAAGGATACTTTGAGTACCATTCCACAACAGGAAGAGGTAAATCATTGTGTTATTGGATTCCTGGCATAGTAACCATGGGTGTTTTTGTACCTGACACCCGAATCTGCTCTTTCACCTGGTAACATAGCCTGTTTTAAGCAAATGAAATCAAACAAAACCCTTTCTCGGTTTATCCTTGATGACGCACACTGTGAAGACACTTGGGGATAAAACTTTAGACCTTTCTATGGTTGTCTTCATAGCCTCACTGGAACAGCTACAACCTGAACCCAGAAGAAAATTCTTGAAAAATTGGAGTTATTCTACAAGCTAACTGTAATTGGCCAGATTTGGTATACAAAGCTGTATTGAAAAGTGGGCCACATGCAAAAAAAAAAATTAGTCAGTTTTGTACAGGAGAACTTTCATAACCAGTGTAGTATTGTGTACTGTTTAAATACCAAAGACACAGTTGAGCTGGCTTACATACTCAAGTCGAAGGGGCTGTCTCTGCAATATACTATTATGGCCAATTGGACTTTTTTGAGAAAAGCGAGAATGTGAAAGCATGGCTTTCTGTGAAAGCACAATCAGGTGTGCTACAAATGCATTTGGTATGGGAATCGACAAACCAATTGTTCCATGTGTTTTTTATTTTACTATACCAAAGACTCTTGAGAAGTATTACCAAGAGGCTAGAAGAGCTGAACGGGATGGGCGAAACTCAGATTGGGTTCTAATGTTTTGATTTCAGGACAGAATTAAGTTGATGCAACTAATTCCTTTCTCAGAATCAGAAGAACAAAAAGCAAGATTTATTATTATTTTGCTAATTTTGGAGTACTTTGGTGACACATCCATTGCAATGGAACTTGCGATAACTGCTTAAAACCACCATCTGAGCCTAATAATGGTGTACATGATTGGTCACATGACCCAAAATACTATGAAAACCCTTATTTCTCCATTGTTAAAAAGGGGAATTAGTTGATAGTAACAGTGCACAGAAAATAAGCAAAACTTTTTTCTTGCCCATTGCATGGAGAGCATGAAGGTAGTCAAAGGTCAGCTCGCCACAGGTTACAATTACCCTGGCTCACAATCCAATATGGCGCCGTCTTGACTACCATAACTGTGAGTATGAAAATTTTATATTTTTTATTATTCAAATATATTCTGAGCGAGTACATGGAATGTCCAAATTCTAGAAGAACATTTATTGACTATACACGACATGCTATATTAATTAAATAATGTGTATCAAACAAAAGATTAACCTGAGAAGTTATTTTGATTTTGAGCTATTGCTTTTGCCAAACTGAGCATGTCAAGTTATATCTACTGAATTGTACTATATCAAAAATGTCAATTTCATTTTGTTAAGGGTTTTTCGTCAATTTCATTTGTATGGCCAGTAACCGGAAAAATAGTCTCATCTTACATAATTATCTTACTTTTTTAAATACTTTATACTCTCTTCTTTCATAAAACGATATGCGAGTAGATGGAGTCTCTTTTTAAGTTTTTTTACAACGACATTTTGTGAGGTATCGTCTTTAGCTAGATACACAGATCCTAAACTGCCAGGTCCAAGCTTCCTCTGCTTTAATATACTTGCCCAAGTTTGGGGAGCTGAAAGCGACCCTCCATTCCGAAATGATGCTCACAATCACAGTTTTGTGTATAAGCTGTATAAAAATACTTTCATGGAAACCTGTGTTGAAGGTGTGCATGATCTTGCATAACCATAGCAACGTAGGCAGGCAAAATATAAGAGAAAACATACTCGGAATATGTTTCCTCTTATATTTCGCAAAATTGTCTGCTGGAAAAGATTTTTGTAGGCAGGCAGCTCCTAAAATTGAACACAGGGACCAGATTTAATATAGAGTGCTTTAAGCAACAAGAGGAAATCACATGTTGTTTGTGATTTGGTAGTGCAAATTGTTAATAATATAATTTTGAAATGAAAGTTGAAACGTCATTATCCGTCGGTGTTACTGTTAGGTTGTTATAGAGTTTGTCAAAAGTAAGGTGTACGCTTTACAAAGAGGAGCCGACTATTTAAAAAGGAAAATAAAAAACAAATTCCGAATAAAATCTCAGGACATATTGAGAGTCAAAATATGAATGCTGCGCACATGCTGATTTGACACACGCACACTCTCTTTGTTTTTTATATGACAAAATATTTATATAATTACGAAAAAAGTAAGAAATTTATGTAATGTTATTTAATACACTACTAAAGCAAGGTGGTGTACCCCCAAGGTTATACGCCTTGTGATCGGCTTGGATCCTTATTTAAAAGACCAACAGGTAAAGAGTGCGTGCAAAATGGTGGTCAATTGCTAGCAATGGCAATTTTAAAACGGCCAGCACACTACAGTCAGCGCTTTTCCTCGTTTTACCCATTTTTCCACGTTTTACCCATTTTTCTGCATTTTACTAAAGTTTTGCTGCATTTTACTAAAGTTTTGCTGCACATATGTTCGTTGTATCTTATATTATTTAATCTACTTTTATTTAATCAAATGAGAGCTATCGGTCAATATAATTACCAACCTTAAAATATATTTGCGAATATCTGGCGTTTACAATTACTT